AATACTATTATAATGTTTGTTAGAAACTCTTGAAAGATTCTCCACTATTAGAATTGCTTTAACATAACGTAGTTAACCTAAACAATGTTTACCTATTCTAATCTAACGTAGTTAATCTAAACAATGTCTCCATATCTTTTGTCTTAGTCATACATAATATTGTGTTTATTCATAACTAAAACTAGAACTTGAGGATTTAAAAGACTAACGAAATTAATGCCCGTTCTATAATTTTTTTTGGAAGGGACAAATGTTTATGTTTCTACATTATTTTTCTATATAGATAATTGTGCATATTAAATAAATTGTTGTGGTACCACCAGCTATATATGAAGAATGTTTTCAACAAATATTAATTACTTTGTGACCACCTTACCCAATTCTATTCAATATTAAATAGGAAAAAGAAGTATACCTATTATTATGTTTTTTTCTGATATATATACACAAATACCCAACTAGAGCCAAACAACTCCAATAAATCGACCGTTGAATATGAATAATATGATCCTTTGATTGAAATCTTATGCGATCCTTTTTTTCTTTTATCATAAATGTGATTTTCTTAAGGATATAAAAATGGAGTAGCTAGAATTATTGGTTCCTTTACAAAAGAAAAAGGGACATTATTACCTTTTCATCTAGAAGTCTTGAAAAGTTTATAGACGAGAGTGGCCCATGTCTATTTTGTGATCCTGCAAAGGTCCATAGAAAGCCCATTTTGAGCCCATTGGTGATGTTAAATATTAACATGTTATGCAAATGCAGATGAATAAGTTATTAGGGGTGAAATTATTATCCGGAATCCGAGATCCGATCCGTTATCTGTCGGAATTGCTCTGAAAATTAGGATATCCGGGGAGTCTGGATCCGGATAAGGATAGTAAAAATTAGGATCCGTGAAAAGAGGATCCGGATAGCAAAATTTTAAGGTCCGGATATCCGGATCCGGATCTGAACGCATTAAATATATTAAAACCATATATATTATATATCTATTAAACTAATTTTATATAAATAAATATATATAAAAATTGATTTTAGTTCTTTTTATAATAAATTATATTTATAATAAAAAATACCATTTAAAATATTAACTAATAATTTTTAAAAA